TTTTTATTTATTTGAGACAGTGTCTCGCTCTGTCATACAGGCTAGAGTGCAGTGGTGCAGGCTCGGCTCACAGCAACCCCCAACTCCTTGGTTCAAGCGATTCTCCTGCCTCAGCCTCCTTAGTAGCTGGGACTACAGGCACATACCATCACACCCAGCTAATTTTTGTATTTTTAGTAGAGACGGGGTTTCACCATGTTGGCCAAGATGGTCTCGATCTCCTGACCTCGTGATCTGCCCACCTCAGCCTCCCAAAGTTCTGGGATTATAGGCATGAGCCACACTGCGCCTGGTCCCGCCCTCCTGCCTCTTTTTTTTTTTAAAAAGAGACAGGGTCTTAATATGTTGCCCAGACTAGACTCAGACACCTGGCTCAAGCACTCCTCCCACCTCAGCCTCCTCAGTGTCTGGGACTGTACCCACACCACTGTGCCCTTCCTGATTCCTATATTAAATAAGAAAGCAGAATCTACTATTCAGCTTTTATTCCCACTCAAGCCAGGAAAGTTTAAACTTGTGGTGGTTTCCTGAGCTTGCCATATTATGTTAATATGCATTTGTCTTTTTAGTTTTCTCAGTTTAATATTTGTGTTATGTAGCTATTGATTTTGATGAATACAGTAGTCATGTGGTATAATTTTCAACCTTCTTGTGTTTTCCATAGGTTTATTCTTCAGTCCAAGGAAGCAATTCACAATCAACTGTTAGAGAAGCAAAAAATAGCAGAAGAAAAAATTAAAGAACTAGAAGTAAGTTTTGAGTGAATATTGGCAATAGGAGTTAACTTTCGGGAGAAGTGGTAATCTTATTGTTTCATATTAAATGAAAATGTATACCTGCCTGCCAAGGTAATGTCATATTATTTTTATTTTTTATAATCACTTTGGAGCCATGAAGCTGTCATATTCATATTCATATTCATAGCAGTGCATAAGACCAAAAAAAGGGAATAGTCTCTTCTTTGGAACTGTAGAGGGTTTTGATGAGATGGTTTAACATGAATATATTTTGTTCATTGACCTTGATTGTGTTTATTCTTTAAAACAAAAAAATACCATAAATGAAATGTGGTGTATATGTAAACAACACATGTGTAGTGGATTGTGGTGGATGGGCTGGAGAGTGGGTAATAATGATACATTTTAGAGGAGGTATAGGGTCTGTTTTACACATTGTGATTCCTTTAACCTAAATTATGTTCTATATAAGGACATAGTAGCAAGCTGTAACCAATTAACTATCTGAAGGATGGTGCTCCAATGAGAGAACATTTTTTTCTTTTTAGCTAGGGAAAAAGATAAGAGGTAACAGTAAGTAAATCTTTGGAAATATTACTTACTTTATTTTTATTATTACAGTTTCTTTATACATTAAGACCTTTAGTGAGACATTTTTCTTGGGCTTTGGTGAAGGTCCATCCTATGTGTAGTAAAAGTTAGACTGGACAAAAAGCTGGTTATTATTTCTTAGGGATCAAGATTTCCCAGCATGTAGGGGGATGCATTGACTTCAAAGGTCATTTCATCCAATTTCTGTGAGTACTATTTGAGGCAGAGGATCAGAATCTAACTCAGCCTTACGGCTTGTAGCCTCCTGGGGATTTCTTAAGGGGCACTGAATTGGCTTGACCTGGGAGTAATAGTGTATTAGGTTACTTAGGCTTATTTTTGTTTGACTACTGATAGTTTAAACAAACTTGATAATAGATTTACAGCTTAGAAAAGTTGTATTGTAAAAACAAGACAAAAAAGCAAACAAAAAAACCAAGTAAAGGAAAAAGAGCCTGTGATAACCAGGTTTTTGTTGTGTCCTGTTTTAACATTTTAATCAGCTCAACTGTTGTAAGAGGTTCAATTTGATATCTTGTGTTTTCACTCATAAGAAACAAAAGTATTTTTAAAAACCCAAACAAATCATAGTTAAAACAAAAAATGCATTTTTGCAACTGTAGGTAAATATATTTAAAATTGTTCTGATGAATAATAAGTAGCAAGAATGTCTATATATAAAATCATTCATATATGCATATACACAACCTTTCTTAAAAGAGGAATTATGCTATATATGCTGTTCTCCATCATTTGACAGTTTATCTTTCTAAGTAATATAAATCCAGTTAATACACAATTTCTTTTTTTTTCCATTCCCATCATCATAGACTCCTTAACATGAGCCTTATCTCAGCATTTAGTATATTCTCCAGTACTTCTCTAACGTGTGATTTTAACAGTATCCTCCACTGTATACTGAGTCAATCCTATACTCTTCCCCGAGACATTCTCTTCCCTGAGACAATCCTATACTTTTCTACTGCTACACCTAGTTTTGTTACTAAAGCATACCCCTAGATGTGCACTCATGCACATATACATTAATTGTGATGTTCAACTTTTCTGTGTATCTTACTAATTTCCCATCTGCTTATTCATGTAGTTACTGAGAGAGATGTGATAAATCTTCCTCTATGATGGTGTTTATCAATTTCTCCTTAACCTGTTAGTTTAGTGGCGGTGATACTTAGAGACTGCTGTTGGGATGGGGGAGGTAAGTGCTCATTATTACTGTATACAAAGTTTGGAACATATGTTTTATTGTTTTATATTAGGAATTTTTCAGCTTGTTTTTATTTGTTTATTATTATTGTTTTGAGATGGCATCTCGCTCTGTTGTCCAGGCTGGAATGCAGTGGCACGATCTTGTCTCACTGCAACCTCCACCTCCTGGGTTCAAGCGATTCTCCTGTGTCAGCTTCCCGAGTAGCAGGGATTATAGCCACCATGCCTGGCTAATTTTTGTATTTTTAGTAGACACAGGGTTTCGCCATGTTGACCAGGCTGTCTCAAACTCCGGACCTTCAGTGATCTGCCCACCTCAGCCTCCCAAAGTGCTAGGATTACAGGCGTGAGCCATGGCGTCTGACCTCCCAGCTTTCTTAAAGATAACCATTCCCCGACTTCTGGCTTTCATTGTTGCTATTAAGAAGTCATCTGGGCTGGGCGTGGTGCCTGTAATCCTAGCACTTTGGGAGGCTGAGGAGAGCTGATCATGAGGTTGGAGTTCAAGACCAGACTGGCCAACATGGTGAAACCTTGTCTCTACTAAAAATACAAAAATTAGCCAGGTGTGGTGGCATGTGCCTGTAATCCCAGCTACTCGGGAGGCTGAGGCAGGAGAATCACTTGAACCCGGGAGGCAGAGGTTGCAGTGAGCTGAGATCGTGCCACTGCACTCCAGCCTGGGTGACAGAGCAAGACTCTGCCTCAAAAAAAAAAAAAGTCATCTATTAGTCTAATTGTGTTTAATTTGTCTTTTCTCTCTACCTGCTTTTATGTGTCTATGTCTTTCATGCTTTGTAGTTCCTCTGGGATGTGAGGTGTCGATTTATTCCTTTTCCTTTTTTTTTTCTTTAATTTGAGATGAGGTCTCACTCTGTTACCCCGGTTGCAGTGTAGTTGTGTGATCTCAGTTCACTGCAGCCTCCACCTCCCAGGCTTAAACAATCCTCCTGCCTCAGCCTCCAAGTAGCTGAGACCCCAGGCATGCCACCATGTGTAGCTAATATTTTTTTCTTTATTTTAATTAGAATTTGTTGGGTTTCCTGAATCTGAGGATTAGTATTTTTTTTAAATCAATTCTGGAAAATATGTATTTCTGAAGATTACTTCTTCCTTATTTTGTTTATTGATGATATTTCCTTCTGGAATTTTTTGCCACCTTTAAACTGGCTGCCACCACCATCTGCAGTAGCATATTATCTGATTTTCCCATCTCCATCCTTCTCTCATTTAGTTCTTTTTTTTTTTTTTTT